AAAGCTTTTAAGAACAATGTCACATGGTATTAATTTATTCCCTTTTCTCCTCCAAGGGCGAGACAAATTGCCTTGGTCTCTGAGTCTTGCTGGCTTCAGTGTGTACAGTCTTCAGGGATCTGGCCAACATGTGAAGCTGCAAGTTCTGAAACCTGTTAATACAACTGCTACACTTGCCATTTCTACTGTGTATCAGGTTTGAGATGATGGAGTTAGTTTTTGCTTATATGAAAACAGTGTAGAGTTTGTTTTCATGATCTCATAATCTCTTTTCATAATCTCCATAATCAGAGATTATTGATAACTTAACATACAGAGTGGACATCAAAAATAAAAAGATGTTTTGTTCAGTGTTGCTTCTGTTTATTTGCACTCTCCAGGGACCATCTCTCAACCAGCTTGGCCTTGTCATACACACTGACATGTCCCCCCTGGATTTCTATGGAAGCCGCTGCCAGGTTGTAGGGCATGTCACAATTGTAGAGAACTTGCTCAGCCTTGCCTCGCTATTCATGGATACATTGCAGGAAGAGGTGGTTATCTTTCACTCTCTATTATATGTTTTCATGAATATACTAATGATAGAATAAATTTACAAAGTGCCAGAATTGTTGATATTAGAAGGATCACTATGGTCTTTTCTAGAATGATGGTTTTCTGCAGGGGAACACTGTTTACCAATCCTCCTTGTACCTGATCAGACACTTGCTGTGCCTGTCTGGGGATCCAGGCTATATGCAACTAGTGTAATCATTGCTTAATCATTTATCATATTGCCTTTTTTAATGTTCCACAGACCTCTTCCACATCATCAACGCCGGCCCCTCCCCCTCCTGTGATGGAAGCCTCCTCCGTGCCCACCACTCACCCACCTCACCAGCAGTCAACACCAACATCAGCTGTACAACAGCCATCCACACAGCAGTCTAACCTTACACAGCAGTCACCCCAAAACAGCTTCACCACAGTAGCTCTGACCCCAACACACTGATGGTGACTGAGGTGGAGGAGGTTGAGGAAGAGAGAGGTATGAAGGTGTCTCTTTTATGGTTTCCTTTTTTTCTTTTCTTTTAACAATCCTTGTATTCAAGACTTGATATGCCCATGTTGTAGGTTCTAATATTTGTATTAGTATTTGTATTGTTCACCCCAATGTTCAAATTAATTCACTACAGAATTATAAATCTAATACTTCCAGTCCAAGTGGTGAGTGAGGCAGAGGTGCAAACAAACACAGGCCCCATAGTCACTGTGTGGGTGCAGTGGACAGTGGCAAGAGTGTCAGCCTCACTCTATGCAAACAGTGGGCCTGAGCAGAGAAAGCTTCGGGCAGAGTTGGAGGACCTGACAACAGCCTTAGATCTTCATAAAGTATATTCTAAGGCTAAAGTTAAGGTTACATCTGTCAGTATTCTCCACTTCACAAGAAGGTTGGCATTATTCAGATTTGTGTGACATTGGAAAAATAAAAGTAATGCATTTTACTTTGTTAAAGTTTCTGACAGTAATTCTATGAAAACTGCTTGTTTTGTTTTTTCTCAAAATGTAAAACATTGTAATACACATTCTTTCTTAAAGACACTGAAAATGATTTTTATATACCTTAGGAATAATTCATGGGTAGCTGGTGAACATGAAGGTGTTGTCATGACTTGTGGAGACCAGCTGACTCATGACCTCAAGGTTATCAACCCTCGAAATGGCACGGTAGACCCACACTATCACTGTGGTAGGACCAACAACATACCAACCGAGCAGCCCAAACAGCATGGATTTGTTTCACTGACTGTCACAACAGCTCTATGCAAGAATATACAGTCATGTTGGAACTCACTGATCAAGAAGCACTTAAATGAAGATAGGTAAGGCATGAATATGAATAGCTTAATGCAGCTGTTGATGCACAATTTACATTATATATTGCATGATATATATATATATATATATATATATATATATATATATATATATAATATATATATATTATATATATATATATATATATATATATATATATATATTATATATATATATATTTATGAATATATATATTTTTTTACTAGATACTTTATAACAGAGTAGAGTTGGTTAATGCCTATTTTCTAGGTAAAATTTATTGACCTTGTCTTGTTTAATTTTTCAGGGCTCTACCAAGTGACAGAAATGCAGACCACTATTTAAGTGAAGTAGACATACGTGTTCAACCGTTTGACTGCGTCTGTTTCCCTGCTTCCTTGCATATCTTTGCTTCGGTGTATGATCCTTGGTTGCAGCTGCAGGTTCCCAAGCAGCTCATCCAGAAAGGTAGGACCATCTCCAAAGAACCAGTGGGTATGAACCTGAACAATCATACACTGCCACTGATCTACCTCCACACGGAAAGCATCCGTCTGTTTCTCCCTGCTCGTGACACTTCTAGTGAGGATTCCTCAGTTCACAATATGTTCCTGGTTCAGCTTGACTCTACTGTGATCACTCCTCAAGTAGACAACCCTTTGTCGCGAATCATGATAAGACCTGACATCTTCCACATGGCAGAGAGAGCTAGAATACTGGGTGTTCCAGGATCAGACGTCGAGGATCGGCAGTACCAAATTGACCTTGTTGGGTTTAGTGTTAGTACAGGTGAGTTAGATGTGTACTACAGTATAGATAACGGTAGAAATTGATCATTTTCAATCCGTAATACAGAAGTGTAGCTGTAAAATGTCCTCATTTCTTTGTAATGGTAATGTCACTATATCTCTCAATCAATTTTGGTTTCAGGCTTTTTTACTGCACATGAGTTAATTAAGCAATAGAGGGATAACTATACAGTTTGATACATCATTCGTCTCCCATTAGGATCCTGGTATGACCTGGTGAGTGTGAAGGGAGGACGACCTAGGAGTTCTTCTGGTGAACGGTTGCGAGTTATGGGGGAGAATCCAGCTTTAGAGTGGAACAATTATGATCCAACACAAGATAACAAAGATACAGACATTATTCTTCATCCATTCATTGCAAGGCAAGTATATGTCAAAGTGTTGTAAAGTAGCTGACTTATGATGAATTCTTGTTACATTAAGACATGTCTTTAGTAGTGGAATGTTCTTGCAAGATTTATTCCATGATTCAATTTTATTTGTGTAAACTATATTCATCATTAATGCAAGCAGTTTGAGTAATTTCTCACTTTCTACACAGATTTGACAGCAGAATTATTGCAGCTCCAGCCATCGTTTATCGAGGAGTTGAAGGAGAGGATGGGGTGTCATCCCCTACTTTGGTGGCAGGTCATTCGCTAGAAATAAATGCCACTTCAGATATTGACCTCCATATAAGTCTGCCACAGATATGTCTCCTTCAGGATATTGTTGAGGATACGACAAGGTGAGTTGCACATAAGATCATGCATTTGTGAAATTTCAGTATTATGTAAGTTTCTTTGAGTATCATGTGTATATGATGATTCAGAAGAGTAAAGGTGTTGAAATTAGTAAATGATATTGTTAGCTGAATATCTTGCTTATGTGCAGGAAAGTTATGTCTGCAAACATTAAGGTAATGCTTCAAAACTAGCTTTCTAAATATGTACATAAAGGGGTAGACTGAAGAGTTAAGTTAGGAAGAACACAAGTTTTCATTCCAGTTCTCTTACAGACTGATAACCCAGATGATAGCAAGTGGCAGACAAGGCCAAGCTTCACAGATGCCATTGGACATCCAGGACAGTGGCGTGGACTGTGACATATCATCAGTAGAACTCTCAAAAGGAATGGCTAGCCAGAAGTCCACAGGAAGCAGTGGCTCCTGGTCGTTTGTGCCACTGGAACTGCTGGTCACAGGAGGGAAGATTACTGCCAGCATCTTTGATCGAGGAATTCTAGAAGAGGGGCAAAAATTGAGTGTGAAGGTAACACCTAAACACCTTCATTGATGTGTAACAACAACCAGTTGTATTACTAATGATAGAATAATACATTGGTATCAAATTATCATAGATAAGGATAGTGATAGTGAATTTTCACATTCACAGTATTTACAATGCCACGAAAGAAATATTGTTGCTAACAATAAGGAAAATGATTATGATATGACATTCATCCTGTTTAGATAATAGTTTAAGGAAATCCAAAAGTAAAGAATAAACAAAACTTATATACTTCTTTCCTCAGGGTTGGCAGCGCAGTAAGCTGGAGCAAAGAGCCAAAGAGGGAGCGTGAGCTAGTGGCTGAGGCCGCATCAACAGAGTCAGAGCCCTCACCCAAGAGGTTGCCACAGAACCGCCAGAGGACATTACCTCGGGACACTGGAGTGGAAACACCATCAGAAAAGGAGGTGGAAGATGGGTGAGTCTTCAAGATTTTGATGATAAGTGATTTATACTTAGATATAATGTACAAACATTCATGTTTAACCCATTGCATCCAGGAGAAAATGGAGTTGACTTGGCTTTCGCTCCTAGTAGTCTCTGTGGCCAACGGGGCTTGCCTTCGGGGCCTTTTTTCAGCGAACTGGCCTGTCTGAAAAAACAACAGAGTGATGTCTTTTTCTTTTCTTTTTACTTTTCTTTTATCATTTGTATGCAAACCATGATTTTAATGTTTATGCATATTCATAAATGTAATATATCCATTTTAATTGCTAGATCAAATCTGTAGTAGCCTAATTATGTATATTAGAGATATTACACTCTGCGTATAAGTTTGAATGTGGTTTTTATTGATGGATGAAATATTTTTAAAAATCATTCATTTTCACAAATTTTATTTTTACAAAATATGAGATGGTTTGCAGTGATATACAAGGCTGCTGCCCCAACAGCTTCAGTACTTCCCTTATTTTTATCATACATCTAGACATTCACACTGGTAGAGTGCCAAGAGACAGTGTGAGTAGTTGACACAAGGAGGCAGATCTTTTAAACAAGAGTGATGGTTTTTTACAGGTTCACATCAGCAGCCAGAGCGTGTCATGATTTATGTGCTAAAATTCACCCTTTATACAAAACATTAGACAATCATAGCATTACACATCCCGTTCTCCCTCAAGCATGTGGTGTTGGTTTGTGGGTTCCTTATGCAGAATGGCATAAAATGCACAGCACGCATCCTGGTAACATGACATGAACAGCATGTCACCCAGAGCCACGGCCAAGTTAGGCATGACATGAACCCTACATCATTCATAGGCTACAAGTTAATGGTAGCATAACAAATTTACAGATGTGGATGGGCGCACACACAAATGTTAGATTAGGATTTTATTTTGCATATATTCATGTTTTTCATATCAATTGCAGATATGAGGGCTCAGAGGAAGGATCAGTGTGTGAGGGGGGAGGAGTGAACCTCACTCAGCCACGCATTCGACCCTTTTGTATGTGGTGGTGTCCCAGCCTCATGCGTTCTTATCTTGTCAGCCACTAAAACAAAAGCTGGACATATCTTGCTTCAACTTCATACTGCGAAGTGTTCCAAAAGGGTTTTCTGTGAAAGGTAAGGAATATATGTTGATTTATTGGTTTATTGTTAACTGTATTGTATTTTGTAGTGATTATGATATGGCAGGATAATGTTGAAAATTGACAATTCTGTTTTTTTAGGTTTATAAATGAGCATGATGTGTAAATACTTTTGATTTTATGAAACTATTTTTATGTTTAATCTTTGACGGTAATGCAGCCACCGAAGCCAAACAGCTGCCAAGTGCAGAGGACTACACAACATCATGGCTCGAGACACGGCCAGGGGATCCACATCTCAAAACAGGCATTCCTCCTGCTCTGTTAGTGATTTCTGCTACTGATTTCCTACACAAGCCTGGTAAGCAAAGAGTTTCTTTGTCTTTGCAGCAGTCCTTGAACTAAGTATGGAAGTCAGAGATGTCAGACAGGGTGTAATATGATATTAAGTTTGATTATATGTGTTTTTTAACATGAAATATCAGCCTGTCTTGATAACTAAACTTTCTTATTTGCAGTATTTAATTAAAAAATCTTTACAAACGAATAAGAAATTTAGAATATTAGTAGTTACATAACCTTTTTTAGAAGTTCTTGATCGATGTAAATTTTTTCAGCATGCATAAATATTGAAGTTGGAAGGCCAGTGCGCCTCTACCTAAGTGAGAGTCGTTGGCAGCAAGTGATCCATGTTATGAACAGCTTGTCTAAAGTCACTCCAGTGCTGGGGGTGATCTCCTCTCCGGACACAAAGCCAGCTCCAAAGCCAGACAGCTCCTTGGACTCCCAAGAGGCCTCTTCTCCAGAGATTCTGCGTCAGGCCCTGTCCAACTTCGACAGCATATCTGTGGTGACGAACCAGGTTGTGGTCAACTGTGAAGTGATGAAGCCACACAAGGCCAAGACAGAACTTCACTGTAGCATTTCTGGAATAAAGTTCTGTACCTCTACCACCCGCAAAAGAGGATCCCAGCCCCAGGATCCAAGACTGGATGTCATCTCAGAAATCACCATCAATGCAGATATCCTAGATTTGCACATGAAAACTATCTATCATTCTCAAAAACTTCAAACTTTCCTTAAGCCATGGACAGTATCTGGGGAACTGAAGCTGCTATGGCTCCAGTGGAGTACTCAGCCTTATGTAGAAATAAGAATTGATACAGAAACCATCATGGTGGACTTGGGCCCAGAACATTTGTTTTGCTTCATGGACCTATGGCAGCACATATCAACATTCATGAACAGTGAAAGTGAAGAAATAAAAGAGGTGAAGCAGGTCAAGCCACCCAAGAAGGAAGACCATCCTCATGACATTCTGTACCAGGATGACTTACGAGCCGGGATCTTCCAGTACGTGAGTCTTGCACTTGAGGATCCCAAGCCTTACCAAGTTGTGTTTGACAAGATGGCAGGGACCATGGTCTGGTGCTACCCAGAACCTCGGACACTGACCAGAGTTGACATTTATCCTGTTCCATTTGTTGCTGCTTCTGAGTTCAGCACAATGGCAGATGCCCAAGACAAAGATCAAGTCTTGTGTGCCCTTCAGTACTTTGATTCACTGCGTGACACTTTCATAACATATCGTCAGTTCCAGTTATCAGAATCAAAGTTCTGTCAGTTGGACCTGCCAAGTTTCTATGAAAAACAGCATATTGCAGTGTCATCTATGTGGAGGGTGTGCATAGATTTCCGGGAAGAAGATAGTGACTCACATGATGGAAAAATCATAGTGTCCCCAGGAGCCTTGGCTGCATGCATGAGGGTAGATTCTATGTTTTCTGTGGACTTGTTGCCTAGAACTCAAGCGGTGGTGTCTGTTGGGCAGGCACAGGTAACTCTTTACAATCATCTTGCCCTGACTGGGAACAAACTGCCCAAAGAGCTGAGATTTTTCACTTTAGATAGGTTAGCACCTGAAGAACAACCCTTCCTTACCTTTACCTTAGAGAATGCATTTATGCGCACATATTCTTGGGCCTCAGCAGCTCACATACAGGTAGGGGGATCCGTGCGAACTGATGTGCTTAGCTACAGCTTCTTAACCAACAGTTGTCTTCTGGAACCAACATTTATTGAAGCTAGTCTTGTCACCCAAGATGCTGAGGGACCAGATAAACCTAACTGCATTGACTCCATAGTCACAGTCAAACCAATGTTCATCCATGTGAACCAGTCCATTATCCACACACTGAACGTCGCCTATGAGAGTTGGCTGCAGGTGTCAGCCACAGTTTCGGATGTAGCATGTGGACCAAACTTGGCCCTCCTCAAGAAATCCCCTGTGATATATATGACCAATTATCTCATATGCAATGATACACTGGAGACTATTAGGTTTGGGCAAGTAGGGACAGATGAGAATATACTCCTTGGCTCCAGAGGAATCCACCTGTATTCCTGGAGGAGTCACAAATATCCACCATTACTGCATGTGTGCGTGGAGGGAGGCAAGTGGAAATGGTGTGACCCATTCATGCTAGATACAGAAGGATATCAGGTAAGTGTAATACTGATTATTAGAAATGGTGAATATATTTTTTACTATTGAGAGTTCTAATGGGAGTGATTCTGAACCTAAAAGAAGTATTATAGCTTTGCAGCATTCATGGAAAAGAAACATTATGCAACATAAAACAAGTGGCTTTTGTTTTTCAGGTACGCACAATTCACCATGAAAATTACCACATTCACTTCCTGGTAGCCCTAGAGAACTTGTCACCAACCCAGAAGCTTGTCACATTTCAGGACTGCTTTCCATAGCCAACTGCCTCAATGAACATTTAGAATTCAGGATCATTGAACCAGGCAAGGAAAAAGATTCACAAGCATGCAGCCCCCACATGCTTAAAGCAAGTTTGTAGCCCCATCCTACATCGGTGAGGCCCATGGATACGAGTCCGATTGATGGGAAACCAGACAATATGGTCAGGGGAGATTCCTTTGTCATACGAGCGGACAAAGGACTCCTCCTGGTGAAGATTCCGTTGAAGATGAAGGGAGAGAGCCTCATTTCATGGTGTCGTGTGCTGAGGCAGAGAGTAGGCTCTGTGTGGAGACTCCTGGTGGTGTTCAGCCCACAGTACATGGTCAGGTCCCATCTTCCTCGTCCCCTGATTCTTCATGTCAACACACCAAGCAATCACACTTCACATCAGGTAAAAGATAGGAATTTTCCTTATTCAGAAAAGTTGATTATGAGCTTCTGTTACTAGGAAAGAGTGAAAGCAGTAGCAAAATATAGGGAATAGAATTTTCTACATGTGTAAATGTTCCTTATGTGATTTTCATGTTAGAGATATGCCTAAACACCAGAAAACATGATTTATGTAAACATTCTTTTTTCCAAAGCGCTTATCTCAAAGAGAGTATCACTCACTTCATTCCAGGTTGTGGTGAAGGGGCGTGGAAAAACACATACGCTACAGTGCGATGGTGGCATCACACATCAGTTGACATTCCAACTAAACCCAGAGTTAGAGGTTTCAAGTCCGCCCATTCCCCTTTCAAGAGCTATGGCTGACCAGGTGGGTGAAGTGCCAGGATATTTTCCAGACATTGATGTGATATGGTGGTTGAAGCGCCCATCAGAACATCTTCTAGTTTCTACCTCCATTTTACCTTTGTTGACCCAGATCATTGCACTTGATTGCCATGAATCCATGTTTTGAATGGATGGGATGTAGCATGAACTTTTGGGCGAAGTGCCAACATCTCTAGCACACATTCAATACACTGTATTCTGTTTGCATTAATCCTAAGTTCCCCTGTGAAAAGAATCTACTGCTGCAGATGGAACTTCTCATTTGTTACATTTTCAAACTACAGAGTAAGAATGGCATTAAATGTAAAGTATTGTTTTTAATTATCACTTTGACTACAACCTGAGATTATTTACTGTCCATGCCTCAACCCATTCATGCTAGGTGATGTCCTATCAGGCAAAAAGTTAACTGATGGCAGAAGATGACATCTAATCATGAACCCCAGCCTTGCTAGGATTCATCAACGGCAGTATTAATGTTCAACTCTCTTCGCCTCTGATTTACTCTCTAAGATTGCAAATCATAATAGATAATGTCTAGATGGGAGTTGTGCGTTGAATTATGTTGATTGATGATTGATATATGAGTGCTATTAATTCTCCCTTTTTATTTTATTTGTACTAATTATTTGGTGTATATCAGATGCGACTATCTCATTCTCAAGAACCTGTGGACATAGCACAGTACCTTCAGAATCTATTTGACGGCCCAGAAGAACGTTGGCCATATGTAGATACTTCCAACTTCATGGGGGATGTTCTCTTTGCTGATCAGCCTAAGATTGACCTGCAGGTATGCATACTTTCCATTTTTCTTTATTCTTATGTTATATTCAAGATTTTTTTTTTTTTTTTTTTTTTTTTTTTGGAAGAGAACCTTTATAATTGATAATAAACATTTTTTTAAATATCACATGGCTTCCACAGGTTGGATTCTCTGGTATCTACTCTCAGTGCAACACTCTCTTGGTGGATATAAGACCTTGGGCTCTTATGATCAACCACTCAGGAATAGAAATTGCTTTGCGTGAACATGAGTCAACAAGCTGCTGGTTTGTGCCCCCTGGTGCTGTGTTTGCTCCTCCCAAGCTAGACGGACTTTTTACTATTGGGGTAGTTGATAATGATCAGCAGTACCACACTGTGCCATTGCAGTTGTCCAAAGAAGACAGGTGGTACAGCCTCAAATTTGAAGGAAGGATACCACGTGAAGGTTTTACTAATTTGCGCATCTTGACGCAAGATAAGGTATACTTGATCACAGTATTGTCCAGTTATGAAGAGAACATACAGATCTTACACCTCCTTCCCACTTACTCCATCACCAACAACACCCAAGAGGAACTGACCATCCGCTCAATGTATGTCTATGCTGGTGACATCAAGGTGCAGCTCCCAGTGTCTCTGCCAGCCCTGGACTTAGCATCAAAACCAGCTACGGCAGAGCTGAAAGAAGTCCCCCTCCTAATGTGGCACATTCTTAAGGATCCTGGTGCTTCCAGTTCAGATGAGGAACTTTGCTGCATACAGATAGGTCAGAACGGATATCAGGCACATCCAGTGGTGGTGAGGGACAATCCCCCAGATCAGAGAATGACTTTCACACTGCCAGATAAAGAGAGCAATTCTGAATCGCCTTGGTCGACCCACAAGTATCAAGGACAGACAAAGATGGTGGTCCAAGAAGATCCTTCACCACAGATGATAATACACAACAACACCAAAGCTTTACTCATATTAGGTGAGTAGGATCAAGCTGTATAGTTGATACTTTTGGCTGATGGAATAAATATTTATATATTATGATCATATTTATAGCTGTGCTCTTTATAAAAGTTGTAAGTAATAGCTCTATGGTTTGCTCAAAAGAATCATACCTTCTTTGTAGCCTATAGCATATAGAATGTATTTTTCTCATCGTCACCAGGCCAGAGTTCAACCAAGAAGATGGGATCATGGAAGAGGAATTGGACATGTTTGCAGCAATGCCATCAGTTCCACCCAACAAAGCCGTCCACTACACTTTCCCTTACATCTCTCAAAGGTTCCCAAATATTGTGTCAAACAATGTCGCATACCCACGCCTGCATTTCTCACAGCCTGATGTTCTCAATAATGTGAGTTGATAATTATAGAGTCTGCCATGGTTGCTTTCATAGAAAGATGTTTTTTTTTCTCTCACCTACCTCACTTAAAGGAATTGTGTCTTTATGTTTTCCCAATTATTTTCATGTCATTATATCCCTCCCCGTCTATGCTAGTAATGATATTTGATAAGTTAAACCCAGGCAGTAGTTCAGTTTGAGCTTTTGTTAGGATTCAATTTTTGAGAGTCATGTAATTCCACTGATTATATGGAATGATTTTCTTTTTTCTTCTTCTTCTCCTTCTTCTCTTTATTTCAACTTGTTTTTTTTTTCAAGGTTTGTAGTTTGTCATTGTCATCATCATTATTATTATGTGTTTCATTGTTATATTATTATTGTTATTGTTAACATTATTATTAATTTCTTCATCACCATTATTTTTTTCTTTATTATGATTATCATTATCATCTTCATAATAAGTATCTCTAATATCTTTCTCATTACATTTTTTTGCAGCAGAATCTGAGGAGGTTTTGTGGAGTCAGGGAGTGGACATCCAGCAGCATTATGATCAATTTGTGAGCATTCCTGGTCATGGAGATGTGAAAGTCCGTATTGAGAAGGTGGGTCACACAGTCCACGTGTTTATCGACCCTGTTAGCAGAGTGGAGGTCTCTGCTAGGGACATCAGGAGCCGGATAGCTGCAGAGCCATCCAAGGGGCGAGTGGCCACTTCCTCAAACAAGGGCAGGGTTGTGAAAAAAGAGGGCCTTGTCTTTGAAGAGGAACATGCCAACCCCCAGACGTCCCTGCCACTCCAGACGAGCAACCCCAAAGAGAAATAGGAAACACAGAAGAGAAAAAGGCTTCCTCTGACACTGTTGCCCCCTCAAAGAAAAGAACAGTAAAGCAACTATGGTTGTGTATTGCTCCTTCATTCACGCAAGTGGTGCTGGTCCTAAAGGATGATGTCAGTGACCAAAGAAACATCTCAGAGATTAAGAGTTACACTAGATAACTTTATTGTTAGTTTGAGGCCTAAAATTGACTTGTCAGAGAAGCTTCGTGCCCTGGACTACTGTGTAAAGGAGCGAGTTGAGCTCATACTATTTGTGTGGTGATGCCCAAATTGACAATCAACTCTTTGTTGTAGGCAAATACGACTTTCCAGTGATACTTATTCGACAGGATCCAGAATCTGCTCCCAGAATCTCACCATTAGACCCCATTGAAAGAGCAATTCAGATTTCTCACAACAATGCACTCTACACCATGTCCCTGGTACTTGAACGGTCCCCAACAAAGATGTGCATACATTCCGTCCACATGAGGTTAAAGCCTATAACCCTTTATGCTGAGGATGCAGTGTTCTATTCCCTCATGGATATTCTCTCGCCTCATTTCTTCCTGCCTCTAAGCACAAAGTTTCAAATATGATTGCAGAAAAGGAAGAGAATGAAGAGGAGGAAAACTTGCCTATTGTCATGAAATTGCCCCAAGAAGTCCTTGTCAAGTCCAATGCTATGACACACCCCATCCATATGAGTCACCTGATCATCGACCCAATTTCCATTTTGTTAAGTGTCCATGCCTCAGTCAAGCTATACATAGCTCTGGATCAGTCACCACTCAGCTTTGGGGATTCCAGCGTACGGACATTATGACGACAAGTTACAGTTTGGGTCATAATCTCACTATGCACTTCTTGTCTGGAGCACTCATAAGAGCTGGCTGGGTTGTTGGATCTCTGGACCTGCTGGGAAATCCTGAGGATTCGCCAGGACTGTTGGGTCTGGTATCAAGGACTTTGTGCAACTTCCTTATGAAGGGATCCTTCAAGGTCCCTGGGCATTCATAGCTGGTGTGACACACGGCTCTATGTCTTTGGTCAAACACCTTACGGCAGGTTAGTACTAGTTGTTGTTTTAGGTCTCTACTCTCAAAGGAAAATATTATTATGCCATGACTTATGGTTTTTATGTCACAAAAGATTTGAATATTAAAATAATGGCATTAATGTACATATAATTTACAAATGAAATCCGTGTTTTCTTATTTTCTGCTCTAGGAACTGTTGTATCCCTCACAAATCTGGCAAGTTCTGTGGCTCGCAACATGGAGCGGCTGTCATTGGACCAAGACCATGCTGCTCGCAGTGAAGCATGGCGACGCTACCAGCCATCAGGCCTTGCGCATGGACTGATGCAGGGATTGTCTGCCTTTGGAATATCTCTACTGGGTAACACGTTTTATTTTTTTGGTCTTTGGTTTTGTTAGGGTAGATATACTTTAAGCTTAGCATTGGCAAAGTGTAGTGACATGTCATGAGAAATTATTTTCTTTATTGAAAGCAATAGAAGAATTTTTTTGGGAAAAAAAAAAAAAATACATTTTCAGCTATATAATAGGAAATACAGATTATCAAGATCGAGCATTAATGTTGCCATGGCTGACCAGGCACCTCTCATGCTAACTAAATTGCCAGATTCAAATCATAATCCTTAACTATGGAATTTGCTGCATCAGGGAATCCCAGATTAGAGAAATGTTCTTCTCAACTGTATATTTATATGTATTTATATATTATGGGCTGTTTTTTTCTAGGTGCTATTGGAGGACTAGCACACCAACCCATGCAAGCTCTGATGAACGATGGGCTGACAGCAAAGAGTGTGTTGGCGGTGTGGGCAAGGGGCTGGTGGGCATTGTCACAAAGCCCATAGGAGGCGCTGCTGACCTTCTGGTTCACACAGGCCAGGGATTACTTCAGGTAAATTTCTCTTTCAAATATTGCATGTATATACTCAGTTAGATAACCAACTTCAGCTGTCTAATTTCATCCAGTAGAGAGTAATAAATTTTCAGAATTTATGTACAAGGGATATGATTTTAAAACTTGGCTTGTCTCTGCAGGGCGCAGGCTGGCATCGTGAGCAAGTCCCTCGTTTCCCCCCACTCGTGGAACCGCACTGCATGGAGGTCAACGCTCCACTGAAGCTGGTGTGGAAGTTTGTCGCTGCGCTGCCCCAGGAGTGCCAGGCTGTGTTGGCTGCGGTTGATGCAACACATCTGACAACTGCAGGCACTTACACTCCTGTCACTGTGCTACTGACTCCTCAGGTGTGTTGTGGTTCGCTAAAGGTCCATTTCCTTGCGTGCATTGGAGGAAGGCCATGAATTTTTGCCTCATTATACTGTATATTATTACCTCAGAGTGTTAGTATGATTCTTTTATTTAGTTCTTATTAAAGAATGTACCTCCATCCTCCATATATATATATATATATATATATATATATATATATATATATAATATATATATATATATTATATATATATATATATTATATATATATATGCATAAGATATATGTGGGTTTTTTCATGACGTTATCAGGTGCTCTTCATCTTGAGTGTGGAAGAGATGCCCAACAGCATGCACTGCCTTTGGCTGAGGTCACATGGCGCCCTCACCCTAATGACCCAACTCTCTTCTACATTGAGAAAGTTCAGCCTGAGCCCAAGCCACAGAATTCAGATATGGAGGTAAGACTTTTTCATTTATATCATTATTATCTTATTTATAAGGCATGTAATCTTGTTTCGTTAGATGTCTTTTATGACCTCAAAATTCATGTTTTTTTTTATTTGGATTCTGCAGCCAGTCAGTGGTTGCCCAGAGCGAGTGGCAGACTATGTCAGAAGCACCTGCAGCGAAGGCATGGACGCCGGGCTTGACTCTTCGGCAGCCTCCTCGGAAGAAGGGACCATCCGTCTGGCAACCCCCCTCGTATCAAGCTCTACGTGTCACCCCGCCTCAGACCCTCTGTGTTGTCTGCCATCAACATCGCAGCACGAGCTAGTCAGGGCAGAGGGTTTATCGTGTGATAGTTTCAAAGGAGAATGGTTGTTGCTTTGTTTAACGATGAATCTGGTGTGGGGTTTAGAAATGCTGTTGATTTACAGTGATTTTGATGGTGTGCATTTGACTGGTCACTTTTTTTTTTTTTTTTTCATATTTAATAGATGCACTTCATTTAGGGTAGAAGAATACAATCACATTCTTCTTTACTCATCTTACTTTTCATTTTCATGTGAAAGCAGTATTTTTTTCTTTTCTTTTCATTGTTAATTTGTTTTTCACTTTAGAGATATGTGTATCTAGGTTCCCACCATTTATGTAGTTGTTCTGGCCTTCACAGATGTACAGAAGACTACATATAGTTGTTGCTACTGTAGTGAAAGCATGGATAAGAGTTCCTTACTCCTTTGTATTTATTATTTTACTAAATTTAGGAGCAAAAGCTTGTAATGAGGTCTTTATATTGATGTTTAAAATAAGCTGTAAGAAAAAAGCAATTTAGATATATGATGGCAGCACATTGCAATTGTGATTGATCTTGTAGTCAATGTCCATGTGTAAGTAAGTACCTTCTCCTTCCATCCATTTTAACCATCCATTCATATTCAGGTCAACTCATCAAAAGGGAAAGGTTGGCAATGTAGTGTCCTTCCCTCATGCGCTGCTGCTCTTGATTTGTGGGAGATGGGAGAGGCAGCTGACTATGTATCTTGATGTTCACTGCTTTCATGTTTTTTTGTTTTTACCCCTACTTCTCTTTACATATAAGGTATAAATGAGATTTAATATCTTCAGAATGCAAGAGATGTGTTTTTGACCGGTTTTGATTATGAGAAATGCGAATACATGTTCTGACAAAAATAGAATTGACACCAAATGCATCTTCTACTGTGAAGATATTCATTCTCATTCATACGTTTTCTACATTTGTTGCTTTGAACACTGTTTATCTTTCTTCTTCCCTCTTATTACTGTAGTTGTTTCTTCCAATTTGAAAACAATCATTTGAAAGAGAATATTTTTTCTTATGCTTACAGAAGTTGGCTATTCTTTTATGTTTGTTTAAGTGATAATTCTGTCGGTGTTATAAATGTACAGGAGCTAAGTATTTGTCATGGAAATAGAGCAGCTCCTCTGTAGAAGGTAGTGAGTGAGCTTACATGATACACTCCAAAGGTTTGGATTAAAAAGTAGAGGTTTACTTTTGTTCATCAGTCCAGTTGAAAATTAGTTACCTTTGATCTAATGTTATTCAGATTTCAAATAGTTTAGATGTATTGAGCATTCTGGGAAAGTGAAGGTTGATTCTAAGGTAAAGGTTGAAACAGAATGGTATAGAATGATCCATACACCTTTTTATATGAAAAATAAATAAATGAAGAGGGATTATTTGTTTGAAAAGAAAATCTTTACGAGTATTGAGAACATTTGCACCAGACTTTGGGTCGGAGCAGGTAACTTTTCCAAACACTATCTGACCTAATATAGAATGCCCAGCCATCTTATGGTATGATTGTCTATCAGGATGTAATTTATAGAATTAATTCAATGGGTATATGCAAAAAGAAGACATATATACATGTTTAACTGTGATTTATATAATGTGTAAGGTGAGATTGTCTCTTGCTCAGAAATACTTTGACTAGCATGACAGATCAGTGCACAAGATATGCCTCCTTTGGGCATTAATTATAAAGGTGTTTAATGCTCTTCCTGTAGAATGTATGAAATATTTATTATATTTATATACATCTTTTTAAAATGTGCTGTGTATTTTGTACTCATGTTATATGGAATGGATATATATGAAAAAAAGTGTTTAAACAGTGTTAAATAGATACTAGAGGGATATACAGTTTTATTACTTTTTATATATATATATAAAGTGTATCTGTCTTAGAAGTCAAAAAGCAATTAAGAATAGTATCAGTATTTTTCTTCTGGATTGGTACAATTGATAAAATTCTCATGTTTATAAGATTCTGATCTCTTGATACAGAGTATATTGCAGTATGAATGTTTACAGATGTTCCTTAGATAAACTTTCTTATGCCAGTACTGCAACAATGTTTCATCGTGTGTGTACACTGAAGAGAAAGACGTTGGTCCAAATTTCATAAATCCTTGGAATGTTCCATTTCTTTTTTTCTTTTTTTACATGGTCATATTGTTTTAGGATTAGACTAGATTTGATTAGGGGTGTGGACTTTCCAAGAATACAGACTGGGGAAGTATTTAAGAAGCTAAGCCAATTTGCAGTCCAAATTCATTTTTTCAACTTTGTCATGGCTTACTGTGTTAGGGTGATATAGGAAAGGAGTACGCAAATGCAGACTCAGATCATAATCGTAAAAGTCTGGGATATGAAAGATTATGAATATTTATATATATATTATTATTTGTGAACATACGATTGCAGTTATTATCAGGGATTCATTCCAAAATTTAGAGGCATTACCATAGTTATATGCACTGTGTGACACTAAAAACAATTCACATCAGTTGTAAGTAATGTGTTTAAGTGTATTTGTTTATTGATTATTCAGTGTACCTACAAATCTCAATTTCATAGTTGTGGCAACAGGAAAGCAACACATGTTCTTTAAACTAATGTTTGATCAAATTTGTTGTCACTGTAGGACTAACCGTCTGTGGTGCTTAAGTGTGTTATTCTGTATTCATATAATTGGGTATGCCCATTGGGCATAAGATGTTTAGCCTGTGGTTGGTCAATTTTAACATGCATACCAGCTAAGTGGCCATGCCCATGGTTGAGTAAACACCAAATATGGTCATACCACACTTCCACCTGCTGAGAGTACCAGCTACTGCCAGTTTTCAAGCCACATATCAACTCAGCCATGTGAGTAAGGGTCATGGGCACAACCGATTGTGTAGATGCTTTATCCATTGAATGTTTGTTTTCATCTTACGTAATATCAAGGTGTTTGGGATATCTTTTGGATTGTATTTTTTTTTATTGTCTCTTTTTTCAAGTTTGATTTAAATGCCTTGCTTTAAGCAGTGTATAATGGGTCATTATCTGAAGAACTTAACCCCATTAACTTGCACTGCAGACCCTTTCATGGATAGTTCATTGCTAAGAAAGTAAATAGTCAGTAATTTGAGAAGATACAGAGGAACAGTTGTATATAATCTAATAACAGAACTCTTGCAGATATGCTTGAGTTTCGAAAGTGGCAACATTAAATGTTTCATTTATTTATTTATTTACAACAATCACTGTTCTTGAGAGGAGAAAATTTGCTTTCTGATGGAAGGGTTTTAAATCATGTTTACATACCTGTGATGTACCAAAATTCCAGTTGATTTATATAATATTAGATGGATTACATGTTTGTATAATAGTCTTTGTAAATGGTATAAGAATTAATTTGATTTTTTTTATTTATCATATCTTGCACTTGTGTTGGACTTGGAATAAAATATAAAGTGATTGAAAATTGTTTAGCTTCGCAACTACCTTTCCAAAGGCATGAAGGTTTTGACTTTTTCACAAGAGAATTTTCTGCCTTCAAAATTTTTCTTCTATTCTATCGCAATACAGATGCAGCCAGATCAATGGGCATCAGATTTTTGTTTGCTTGTTTGTTATAAAACTACTGGTAACCATTGATATATTTTTCTTCTTTGCTGGACCTCTGACTTCATATTGCACGAAGTTGGGTTCTGAGCAATAAACCTACTGGATTTCTTCCTTGCACTTCCTGGTTCTCAATAATACTAATAATACTAAACATTTGTGTGCTTCCTTAAAGTTTGATTTCTGTTTTACAAATATTACTGTTGTCAAGGTCTTCATACACCTTAGAGATGGGGAAAGAATACCAGGACATTTTATGAAAATATTTATTTCTCATATAAAACTGATTATACTGCAATTCAACTTCCCAACTCCACATGGTGGATAAATATACATTTAATATCACACAGACACATGGGTATACTTTTAGAATATAACAAAAACCTTTTTTTTCAAAATGAATAACCTATTTTTGCCCATTGAAAATATACTATAAATATATATACACAACACACTTTTTCACAAAACTCAAAATAAATCACAATCTGATATATATATTGTAATTTCCATCCTTCAGTAATCACATAAATGGAAGACCATTTAACAAAAACTGAACATTCTACACAACAGACATATAGGGAAAAGAAAAAACAAAAACAAATAATACTTGAAAATAAAGGAAGAATACATAGAGAAAAAATAATAACGTGCAGTTTTCAGCAAATAGAAAAATGCAAGTGGGTACCAATTCCTTTACATGAGGTGTCGTACACTATATACTAGAGGAAAATAATAAGACCTATCCTTGTTGGCGCACTCATCATGCCAGTCAATATCATGAAAACTGAGTATATACACACATTTGATAAGGATGTTAAGTGCCATTATCAAGTAAAAATAGTCACACAACAATAACTTAATCATGACTGAATACAGGATGATAATGTAACACACACCCATACAAAGAAAGTTGATTATAACCGTAAAACAATGAAAAAAAGTAATATTTCCTTTAATGGATCTATATGACTAGTTCAAATTTCTTATGCTGCATTTCACTGACAAAAAATATATGTTTAAAAGGAAACGAATATCATAAACAAAAGTATACCTATCATTAGTTAGAACACAAGCAGATCAGGGTAGGTAAAAGTCCTCATTGACTTCGGTGCCACATTTTCTTGACATATTTCAGGATTTTTTGGTTTATGGTGAGGAAAACTACAAACATGTATTCCTATGTCAACCATAAATGATGCTATTATGCATCTATCAATGCTACACTCTCCATTAGATCCCCTTAGATTCGGGGGAGAGAGAGGGAGAATTACCTAGCTGACTAGATCTGTCCATGATGTATTATAGATGACCTGTCCCTAGAGAATGAATGATTCTGAACACTATTGCTTAAAAACTGAGCCAAGCAAAGTAAACATATATGAGTGAATAATGACTATGGTTTACACTATGGGTGAAAAGCATCATCACCCATAAATTTAGTTGCAGGTGGTATAGGTGGTCACCATGTTTCCTACTCTCTGCGTGACAGTCCTACAGGTCCTCCCACCATTTCCTCCACTTGAGAACCGCGTCTGCTGCTGTTGGTAGGTATGTGCCCGACCACCATAGTGAGCTTTGTTGTGGGCCTGCTGGTGCCGCCTCATGTGGTCTGTGTGCTGGAAGTGGCCACCCCAAAGAATGAATCGTGAGAGCCAAAGGCATCATGGCCAAAGCCTCCTCCTCTTCCACCAAAGAAGTCCTCCATGTCCATGAATCCATCTCCCTGCATGTGTGGAAAGGGTCCATATTCTAATACTTGACTATTTCCTCACAACTAACTATACCCTATATAAGACATTAGTCAGTTTCTAAGATAAATGTATTAGTAGATGTTTAGCAAAACTTGGCATGCTGCATTACCTTCCAAGTGATTGATTTACTGAATCTACAGAAAATATGAAGACAAATATTGACATACTACTCAAAAGAAATCTCAACTAACTTGTTTCCATTCATTTCAGCTAGTCTTCAGAAGGCTTACCTGAATCTGGACCTACCTCAGGAGTCATATAGAATCATTACTAAATACAAGAGTAACAATTACTTGCTAAACAGTCATGAAGTTTCCTCTATCTGACATATAGTGTTTCACAGAATGTGATAGCAAGATACAGCATACATGTACAAATCCCAAATAATGTTGCACTGCAGGCTTTAATGATCAGTTAGAGCAAGCAATAATTAGTACAACATTAAGCTTACCTCCAAGAAGACAAGGAAAACAAGGTTACAGAATTCTCTACTTTATAGGCATGCATTCCTCTACTAAGGAAAAGCACAGAACTACTCAACTACATCAGCTCAATAACCCATTTCCAGACATGCAAGGTAACATGGACATGCATTTAATATGAAATATTACTCTAAGCAAAGTATATATTCATGATATTGTAATTACAACAAAAATAACCAAATATATTATCAGAAGAAAAAAGCTAAGCAAATTTGTTACAAATGAACACAAACAAACATTAAATTTGTGTATTTGATTTTCAGTTAGTTCCTCAAAAGAGCACATGACTAAATATTCATGTAAATAGTTTTTTTTTATCCTTACTCTTCATACTTTAATCTCTTTTATACACTTCAAGCCAACAATCATTCACAAGACATTCACCCAGCACACAGAGCATTTCTTGGTTAATAAAGCAATTAATTGTGTTTATTGTGACAAATGTAGAAAAGATATGAACGAGTGCAAAAGATGTATATGACCATTTTCGATTATATGTATTTCTGACAAAGATACAATCAAAACCAGTCAAATACACCTCTTCTACCATAAAGGTATTCATTCTCACTCAGACCATTTCTACATTATCCCTTACAATCCAGGCTATATGACTATCACGTCATGAAAAAATCTAGCTTGAGGGGCAGGTGATGTGAACATGCTTTCATGGGAAAATTTGGCCGTGAACCAAGGTGACTAGAAAGACTCGCCACAAGTGGACAAACCTCTTGGAGGGTGATTAGAATCACTTAGTATTTAGGAAGGGGCTTTTGTATTATTTCCACCAATAAACGAGTGTGGAATGTAACATCCGTGAGCTGTAACTGGAAGAGCACTGGCTCCAGGGATGACATTATTTCTATACTTAGGATACTATTCCTGCCTGCCAAGACTGGTGACGCAGATTGTACCACAGAAAAATAAATTTTATAGAAAAAAAGTCAAATAAAATGTTACTTATTGTTATTATTACTGCACTGCATTAGAGACTGCCAAGAGAGATGACATGGAGTCTATGCAAGGAAAACAGTCTATCACCATCTCGATAAAGCAAATCATATGACAAATATAGACATAGGAAAATGGCACAAAAGCCAAAAATAATGCCACAACAGACAAAATAACACTGCAAAGGGGAGGCATGAATTCTTGTCACATGACTGTTCATTTGCGCCCAGCCTACATACTGAATGTCCACTCATGTACACCTAATGCCTGTGTTTTGGGCCACATGATGGCAACTGCTTTATCAACCCACTGGATCTTGATCCAATAGGTTAATAAAGCAACTTAACTTTTCTTTTCACATGCAGCATTAGTAAGCCAAAGCCCAGATCTTTACATGCTCTCATGTATACAAAAAATATGCTAGATACTCACAAAATCACGAAAGTGTCTGAAATCTCCAAAGTTTCCAAAATCATTGTCAGATTCAAATTCTCTAAATAAATCATCAAAGTTGAAATGGTAGGGATCGCTGTACTGTCCTCCACCTCCACCAGCAGACTTCTGGGCATAGGCAGCATGGCCCATGTAGTCGTACTCACGCTTCTTGTCCTCGTCAGACAAGACCTCATATGCTGTGGATAACCAGGACATTAAGGATATGGAAGTTAACTTCCAGAAAGTACCAATATGAAAGTCATACATTGAACACTATTTTATTTTGTTCTATATTATAAAAGAAAACGATAATTAAATTTTACCTTCCGCAATTTCTCT